ACAGATGGATCAATAGATTTTCTTCTCTCTCCATCAGAAGTATATTTATCAATTAGATGAGAATATGGGACAATCTAAAATAAATTTAAACAATTAGCATCACCTAGTATTTTAATTAGCCATGTTGATCAGTGGTGCATGCGCTACTCGCACAATATACTGTGTACTCGCTTCAAAGATTTTTTTTTTTCTAGTTTTTTAAAGAAAAAAAATGTGACTTTTATTTCATTTAAATTGTATTAAATTATAAAATATAAATAATTAGATGACAAGTCAATCTTTAATGTTATGAAATTCAACTTTCATTTAATAATAAATGTTGTACAATCTAAACAGTATAATATTTTCAAAAAAACAAATTATCGCCATCTCTTTCATTCAAAAAACTGTTCTCAAGTGAATGAAGCGCATTATTAGCGACAAAATCTTCATTTTCTTATTTGACATAGGATTATGGGATTAAGCGATCTAGTGCAGTGCACCAAGCTTTCTTCGACCCCTCCTCTTAGCATTGCCTTTTGCCTCTGCTGCTGCTAGCATATCCCCATCTTTTCTGCTAGGCTCCATGGCTCCACCCAATTATAAAAAGGGAAATTATTGATATTTTCATTTTTGGAAAGAAAAAATAATTAAAAAAAATTTAAGAAGATATATTTGATAGAACAAATGGGTCATGGGCCTAGAAGTCTATTTCTTTTAAGAAGTTTGGATATTAGCCCAATTAAACCCGATAATTGTTAGACTTGGGGCCCATAAAAGCTAGAATGTCTATTTCTTTTGGTGTGCCTTATCTGTGCCGTTCACCAAGCCCTTTAGTAGCTCAGCACTGATCAGATGGGAAGATGAAAAATGGGAAACCAAGCTACCCCCAGTCAGAACCTTCATTTTCCATCACACCGCAATCATGTCCTTTCTCGCCTAACGGCTACCTCCCTGGCCCTGTCTATCCAGCACTTTATCAACTCCGATGCTCCTCCATTCCTTGGCCAAATGATTTGTTCCCACATTATCAAATCTGGGTACTCACTGAATACAAGTTTTTTTTTCCATTAAACTTATGATTCTGTATTGGAAATGCGGTTGCTAGATACATGCGCGCCAAGAATTTGATGAATTGCCTCACTGAACCCTGCCTGTTTTTAATTGTATGATTATTGGGTACTTGAAACATGGGCTAATCAAGAAGTCACTTGATTTGGTTCGTAGAATGCTACTCAGAGGCCTTGATGGGTTGATGTTATGGATTAAGAGTTGTCTCCTCCTTTAAGGAATTTTATTGTCTAGTATAGTCAGGATTAAAAAAAGAATAATGATAGATAGAACAAAAATTTAAGATTAAAATTTATGAATAATACGTGACTTTCATGTTACTTGAAAGATTAAAAAGT